AGTTTTAGTAGTTATATATCTCAGTGCTTATGATTTCCCCAATGAATTAAATTTGCCCTTGTGGTCAGATTTAGGAGAATAAAAGCAACAAAGCAGCAAACACAGAGAGTTGCTTTCAAAGGAGCTTTCAGGTAAAGGATTAGATCGTTCAAAGTCATTGTCATATATACTTCAGTCCACAGGATCTGGGTCTGGGGAGCCTTTTGGGTGAAGAAGCAGGGATGTGTGTGGTAGACAAGGGAGAGGACTACGAATCTCACAGAATTAATGAAATATCTGAATTTTCACCCACTCCCTTTATGCAAAAACTGTATGTGCCTTCACTTAATAACACTTCACTGAACACTTAAATTTAACTACATATTGTAACGATTTTCTAGGTGTTTCTGGGGCATGCTTGTAATGCAGGTTTCTAAACTCAGGTGAAGAAGTAGAAACCCGTCTGGGACACTGCATACACAAAGTAGCTGGCAGTCCTTCCCCAAAAACCTTGTCTAAGCAACCACAGGTGATACAAAGGATTTAACTTGCAAAGAAAGTGAACACCATGAAAGTACTGTAGTCTTACTATATTGTAAGGGAATTACAAGAAGAATGTTAAATGGAAGGGATAAGGCGAAAAAGTGAGTAGGTGCAGAAAATGGATAAAGAGTAAATAAGGAGCAGAGCTCATGATGCTGAAGAGCAGCGGGAGACAAACAGACACTTTTCTGCTTCCTTCTGGCTGGCTGCTCTCTGGACCCCACTCGTACAGGAACAGCTGAGGGATAGCAGAGTGGGATCTGCATTCTGGTAGGTGCCCTTGCACTACAGGAGTAGCAAGGAAATCCATTTGGGCTCCAGACCCAGCAAGCTGTTGGGAGATACAGCAGCATGGTGGTTGTGAGGGAATGCTGTCACTCTCTCTTCCCAATTTGCTCATCTCTACCTATGCAAGACTAAGCAGAAGTGTTTTTAATGCTGCTGCACGTCATCTGTCACTGGGAAGATCTCTTGTAGCAGAGGCACAATTTAGATTGCCTAAGTTGAATTCTAGGTCTAAAATAGCAGAGGTGCTGTTGGTTCCTATAATGGACCCTGCTGACCTCAATAAAACCACAAAGGGAGGCCTGGAAGAAGTGGTGTTTGTTGGTGCTGGCTGGGTACTTTGGCAAGATACAGTAAAGATAAGTGGCTTTGCTTCCGTGTATGATTCACTTGGTTCCATTGCTAATACATCATTTAGAGATGAGGTTTTCCCCAGTGCAGTGTTTGGTTAGTGTCAGTACACAAGCCCTTTAGATTTTCTGAGAGGCTTTCCTGGTCTCTTGCAAAAGTGTTGAAACTGTTGGAACTGAGACAGTGGAAGAGTAGTGATCAGTGCTGGAGTCCAGCTGCTGATGCAGAATGTAAAACTCCAGCTTGTCTCTCAAACTCACTTTTGGCTTCCAGAAATCAGTCTGGTTCTTTATCATCATGATGTGTGGAACATGCTGAACAGGACAGGCATTCATGAATAAAACTTGGGTAACAGTGAAGTCCTGTGTAGTCATACCCTACAAGACTAAACAATCTTTATGGATGTAGAGCACATTCAGCCCTCTGAATCACTTCTTCCATGAGTTCTATTCCTGTCATTCAACATTATTAAGTTATCTCTGATGCAGTTCTGGAATTCCCTGTGTTTATTCCATTTTAAGATGTGTGCCAATAGGATTTACTTAATGAAATCTTTTGTTTACTGAGACATTACAGGTAAGGAGCTTGAAGGTCTAAATGGCTTTCCTTAAACTTGATGCCAGGACAAAGTGCTGTTTTGGCAGGACACTCATGTTTGTTTTATTATATTCTACATGAGGATTAGTGTCTATAGCAGAACATTACCTGTACAGGAAGGGATGAAAGTAACCTGGAATATTTTGTCAAGGCTGTAAATCTTGAAGGCAATTTTTTTTCTGGGAGATGATTCAGAAGTATGCATCTGCACTGCTTGGAGTTTCCTGGTCTGTATCATTACGGGGTTGAACGATTTAAGCGGGAAGCACCCGCCCTCCACAGATCTTCTAACTTATTTACATATCAATGGTCATTAAACCCACTGATCTTAAACGCTGCTGTACTCATAAGAAGGTGCACAGGATTGGTTTGTTTCAGCAAGATAAGTTGTTTGCTGAAATCCCAAAATGTAACCCACAGGTGGATGCCACTCTGCAGAGGGAAGATTTGTCAAGATCCCACTTTCTGCCTTTCACAAATAACCTCTGTCTTCCAGCTATGTTTTTCCCTTCTTAATATTTTTTTAAAGGAAAAACTAAGTCTAAATGTCCTATCTTTTCCTGGAACTATGGTTTGCTGCATTCCATCATAGGGTGAAAAGAGGAAAGAGATGGTTTAGTCTGAGCATTACCTGCTTTGGGTTCTTTCCAGCGAGCCGTGACTGGTCAGAAATGTATCAACTGTAATTTTCAGATGCTGGGTTCAGCGTTAGACTGTAAATATCCCTGTGGATTTTCATAGTGATCCTGGCATAGTGATCCTTTCATAGTGATCTTGAGGCATCACAAGACTCAAAGAAAACAAAGTGCATAATGACAGAGCCAACAGAGAATCTGTCTTGGGCTTTTTTGAGTTTATGAAGAAGCCTTTATGGATAAGCCTTGAGGTCTCTCAAGTGAGTAAGAGAAAGAAATGCTGGATAGATTTTTCCAGCCAGGCTGATCTGTTTCTTCTGGTTGGGTAATGTCAGCAAGTTGGTTGATATGGATAGGCTGATGCTTTCTGCCAGTTTGCTTCTGGGTAATGCTGAGTCTGCACAACCCATACACTTCCATCAAAGTGTCTGTGCTCTCTACAGCTCCAATGAGGACCAGGCAAGTTGGCAAACTCTTTAGATCAGTGCTCAGCTTTCCAGCTGCCCTGCTGGCAAACTTCCCAGCTTTTTGGATAGCTGAGTCCAAGAGAGTTGGGTTCCTGGGAAACCAGTTGAAAAAAAATAGAAAAATGTAACTTTGCGCACTCTTCAAAGGGAATTGTCTCAGAATTTTCTTCCCCTGAGAAAGTAATGTTTCCCTCTTGAGCTTTTCATTGCAGTTTGAAATATAAACTATAACTATAGAAGGTGTTTAGTTTTCCAAGCAAGTCTTTGCAGAAGACCACGATACTATTTTTCAGGAATCATTTCCATGCTTTTAAATAGAATATAGGGACAGAATGTACTAATTCCTGAAGGGTTTGTACAGAAGTTCAGATATATTCTGAGCTAGTTCTCAAGAGATCACCAAGAGCTAAGTGCTTCCTGTCAAAGGAAATCTACCTCTTCAGGAGATTTAAGCTTCTCATGACTTTTAAGTAAGAGCCTTGGATTTCTTTCATGTAAGAGCCTTGGATTCATGGGGCACTTATTAAGTTTTTTTGGAGATGAGGAAAGAAGGCTTTGCTAACTACTCTTGTGCTTTCATGAGAGCCTCACTCTGTAGGTGTGAAATTGTTGCCTGAAGAAACACAATTGTCGCTTAGGAGAGATTGTTTCTGGTTTCTTTTTGGCACTTAGGAGGGATTGTTTCTGGTTTCTTTTTGGCAGCAGTCACACCCTGTTTGCATCAGCAGGGTGATGCACTCTGTGTTCCCATTGCCTGGTGTGCTTTTACTGGATGTGCTGAGTACCTGGGCCTCAGAGCACCCTTACTCATGCTGTAATCAAAGTGTAGTCAGTGTTCTGATTCAAATGTTGGACTTTGAATTCAATCAGTCCCTCGTGTTTATAAGCCTAATTCTGCAAGTCAGGGTGCAAAACCTGGGCAGTGTTTTACAACTACATCACACTGCAGGATTTTAGGCTGTGTTCTGAGCTCTTAAGGCATGTAAATGACACAACAGTCATTTAAGAGCTTCTTTTGGCAGAATAAGATTTTGAAAAGCCCTCAGAAACTAGACACCTTATAATTATCCATTTTGAAGCTACTTTTCATATAATACTTCCTTTGCTACATCACAAATAAAATCCACTGCAAATGAAAAAGTTTGTTGAGACTCTACTGTTAAATGAGATTCAGCTCTGCTTTTCTAGGAATGGAGCTGAAATAAAAATAGGTTCTGATGGGTTTTGCCAGCTTTGCCCTTTATTGTTTATTTTTCCTTTCCCTGCTGTGGAATAGCTTACCAGCTTAGGAAACTTACATGGTGCCTTTAAGAAGAAATGCTAAATATAGTTTCCTTTTTTATTTTGAGTATGATTTTTGATTAATTGCAAGAACTGCCTGCTTAATTTGGATTCTCTTCTTCTAATGTAACATTCCCTTTTTACTGGCTCATGAGGACTCCCATTCAACAAATTCTAAGTCTGGCTTGTTTAAGATTAAAATTGAGCACTCTGTGAGAAATCTAAAACCAGGCCTTTTTAAAGGATTGAGGCATAAAACCATTAGAAGAGCCCTCATTAGGAATGAGTCTCCAGATGTTGTCAGCTCTGTACAAAACCACAGTCCCGCAGGTCCCTTATTCACAACTAAAACTTAGAAATGCACTGCTAGCAAGGAACAGGGCAGGTTTCACTTCCTCTTTCATTTTGGAAATGGAGTTAAATTTTTGGAGAAAATTTGTGTATTTGGCTTTTGCTGTTTAAGGAGGAGAGAGAGAACTTTATTTTTTTCTCAATATTTTGACATGCTTCTAAAGCCTGGCCTCATTAGTGTTGGGAAAAGTTCTGTGGCACTGCAGTTCTGTAGGTTTGGAGAGACCTAACTATAGAGAAATATGAGTTCCTATTTGACCTGCAATTTCTGGTGAACCCCAGTTTCCCAATGGTGAGGTGATGAAGTCACAACCACTGCTGATTTATACTGGTTCATGTTATTTTTTAGTAGAGTCTTCTAAATTGCTAAAATGGAGTTCCTTCCTTTTAATTTTTATGCACCTGCATCTGTTTTGTAATCAGGTCTGTAATCAGTCATCCTTTTAACATATTAATGAAGCAGTAGGGACAAATATAAAGAACATTTCATCCTTCAAACCAAGGACTTGCCATGTCTTATCATTACAATGAAGCCTTTGAAAATCCAGACTACCACTTCTCAGAGACATTGGAAATGGATAGAAGGTGAGTTTATTTAATTTTGCTCTGTGACTGTGCCATAAGAAATATTCATTTATATGCAGATCTTCTCTGGAGTTTTAATTTGTGGATTTATTTGAATCCCTCCTTTATGCTTTCATTCTCAGACAAGTTTTTAAAACTGTTACCAGGAAGGCAGCATTCAAAGGAAATTATGTGTTTACTTTTTACATGTTGGATGAATTTTAGTTAAATTTATTTATGGCATAATGTTGTACATATTTTTTAGCTCCAGTAATTTTCACAATGGGATATAACCTTGGATATCTTTGTTTTCCAAGCCAGTATTCCTGCTTAGTTAGACCTTCAGGTGGAGAAAATTTTAGCTTCTTAATTCATTTGATGACCAAATCAGAATTATATTCTTGAAGTTCTAAATACAAAATATCTCTCAGTATCATAGCTTGTTTTATAACATACTCAAATTCAGGATACCTATTGAGGGTTTTGATGACAGTCAGGATTTTCTTTTTCATTGCTTACCCAGGGGGAGCTCTCAAAGGAACCCATTCTCTCACCGAACTCCTCATGATTCATCTCAGTCTGATTACTATGGAGAGCACAGAGGGAGGGAGCAGAACTACCCTGTGGCCATCCCAATGGTTTCCCTGGGCCCTGGCTCTGACTACAGCCAGGATTTACCCAGAACAAGTCCATATGGAAATTTCACAGGTATGTAATTTCCCATGTGACCAGCTTAGAGAATGCCTGGAACAAATAGCACTTGGCTCTGTCCTGAGGGAGTCCTGCTGCTCTGCAAAGCTCTACTCTCTAAATATTTTTAGCTTCTTGGTTTTTTTAAACAGTGCATGTGTTTTATTAACAATTCCAGGGATTGTTGTACTAACAGATGGATAAATATTGTTTTGTATGGACTGAGTAAGGTGTTGAGTACTAGGATGTACATTGGGGTGGAATATGGGAGTTTTGTTGAGGGACTAGGTTGCTGTGTTGGCACTAGATCTGTATTTTGTCATAGGCTTGGCATTCTGTGTCTGTAAATAACCCAGAGCAGTTTGCAGCTTTGTGTAACTCTGATTTCCTTTAAAGAAAATCTTTCCTTTGAGCCTGAGCCAGAACTGACTTACACCCCACATTCTACCTCCCATATTCTGGATTATCCCTACACTCATGGAATTTCCAGTGGATCAGAGGGTAAGGATTGTGGTGCATCACAATATTGCATGTCAGTCTTGCCCTCCATAAAATAATACTAATAAATATTTTAAAGCCTTCTTGTTCAGGTACGAATGCCTTCACATAATAAAAGGGGTCAAAAGTGGGGTCCTTCCACATCAGAGAGCTGAGCTCCACACTGGGATGTGACACTGGGGCTGGCCATTATCTCACTGGGAAGGCCAGGCGAGGAAAGCTGTGGCTAACTCATCTGTGTCATGGGTGGGAGGCAGATGCTTTTCAGGAGTGTAGTCACCTGTTTGAATAAGTGGATGAGAAGGTGCAGAGAGCAGCTGCATTTTGGCCCCAGGGAAATGGGAGTTTGGCACATAGAACTTACTCAGCATGAAGGAGTGTGATTCCAAAATGATCCCCCTGAAGGCTGGGGAAGGATTTTTAAAGAAAGGCCTTGTCTTCTAAGAAGAAAGTCTTGAATAGTGAAGGTGTGCATTTGTGAATGGGTTAGATGGAGTTCTCCATGACAGCTGAAGACTGGGTTCAGCCCCTCTTCTCCAGCATTTATCTGAAAAATTGCTTGTGCTTGTCAAAGACAACCAGGAAAGAAGTAAGTGGGGGAGTATGTTTGTATGAAGTTAGTGAGATTAATGGATACACTTTTACCTTGTTCTTGTCAAAGTGAAATTTGAATTTCTTAAGTAAATTGTCAGGAGTCTCTGGGCTTCCTGAGGAACCTGTGTTATTCAATTCAGACAGCTTCATTCGGAGACGCAACCGAAGGCCCCCCGATGAGATCTTCGTGACTTCTTCCAGCATGCCTGAGGCAGATCCAGTGTGCAGGGAAGGTAGGGGTCTAGATAAGGGGATCTGATTTGACAGTGTCTTGTACAAGGATGGTGTGGTTGATGCTGCTCTGTTTCTCACCAGAACTGTGTGTTCAGTCCTTCTGTGGTCATGGGGACAGTTTAGGTTTGTGTTATGGTAGTGATTAATCTTTTATGCTCTCCTAACACACTCAAATCCCATGATAAATGAAATTAAGTGCAGTATGAAGGTGTTAAATTGTAGAAAGAAATGCTAAGCTCTTTATCAGAATTTGTTTGACCAGCTAATAGATTGTTTTCAGCCACTGTGCCTAGAATTAGCGTCAAATTCCAACTATGCAGAAGCAGCCTGATTGCTAGGTCAGAGAGGTGTGTCTGTGGAGTAGGTAGTGATAAGTAGGAGCACTGACATAAACTAAAATTACAGAATAAATAAAGCAAAAGTTTAATTTTCAAGTCAATATGCAGCATGATAGAAGTGTAACTATCAAATGTGATCAAGTGGACCAGAATCTTGGAGTTTTGTCAGTATTTAATTTTCCTTTATATGGCAGCTCTTTCTATGAACATTATTGGACTACTTGCATCTGATTTAGAGTTCTGAGGGAGCTGAAGATATTCTGGGCAAAATAATTAAGTCTCAGCTTACACACCTTGGTAGCAGTGTAAATGAGGGATGTTGTTATATCAATTTCAGGTTGTGTATAAAAATTGCTGTATTCTCATCCCCAAATTTTGTTTTTTGCGTGGGTTTGATGCAGAGGAAGATTTAGTTGGAAGTCTTGCAAGTATGTCTAGCAATGAAAGGATTAAAGCAATCCAGAAGATGCCAAAGACCATGAGAAAAAAGAGAGAGATCAGGTAAAAATAAAAGTTTGTGTTTAGTTTTAAAAACATTTACTTCTAGCAAATGTTTGTAAATGTTTGCAAATGTTTAAAAACATTTATATCTAGCTATCAACTATGGGAGTTCGCCATGTGCTGAGTTTTGGTTTGCCACTTTATGTCAAAGTTCTTTTTAATGCATTCTTAAAGAGTTAATGTCTTGCAAGGGAAAATAATTTAATGATGGAGATAAGAAGAATCTCCCACTGTAATATAAAACAGAATATCATGGTCCTGAGATTTGGTTATAAATGATGACCTGAGATTTATTTTCAAAGCAAACTTGGATATTGGTCATTGAAAATGGAGAAGAGACCATGTGATCTCAACCATCCTTTTGTCTCCTTACAAAATATATGTAAATTCTGCTGCCAGTGTGAGTTAGTGGAGAGGATAGAACATGCTGTCATAGCAGGGACAGGAGCCAAGGTATCAGCTGATATGAAATGAACCAGTAAGAACATCTCCATGTTGTACTAATTCTGTTCATGTGCACAGTGGTGAAACTGTATTTGCAGCATCTTCTTTGGCTTCTTGATTCAATTACAACTCATACTATACTGCTTGTCACCCCTGCCCTGCTCTTCCACAGAAACAAAGTTCTGAAAGAAAGAACCAAAAAATCACGGCATCGTGGTGCTCAGTGGACACAGGGAGCACCGGGAGTGGTAAGTGCCAGAAACTTCTGTCAGTCACAGCAGAGCAAACCACTCTAGCTGCCATGTTAGCACTGCCTCCAGAGGAATCTGGTGTCTGGCTTCATGTTACCTACCAAGGATCCAGTTAATTGCTGCAGTGTTCATTAACAATGCCTTGCACTGCAGGAGCACTTCGGAGCACCTGTTCACCATCTTATGGTGCATGGAGGGGGCAAATCCATTCTGAACATCAAAATGAAACTGCAACATTAAAATGTGAAGTTTTATTCTATGAAGTTGAGTCCTGTTTGCTTGCTGAGATTGATGTCTCTCCTCTTTTTCCCTGCAGTCATTTCGGCGATTTGGAAATGCCCTTTCAGAATTTTTTCAACAACTGCGGCCATGGCACAAGAGTCTGAAGATCATTGGTGCTGAGTTTGGAACAAGTGTTCTTTCTTATTTTGTTTTCTTGAAGTGGCTGCTAAATTTTAACATCTTCTCATTTCTCATAAACTTTGGTTTCATCACAATTCCTCAGTTTCTGGCAGCAGAACCAAATAACCTTTCATTCACGGGCCTGGAGCTGCTCACTGGAGCTGTAAGTATTTAAATTTAATCATACCTCTGATTTCATGATAAGGAATAGGACAGCTCCCACCTCCAGTAATTTGTCTTCAGATGATGATGCTTCCTACCATGGAGGTGATAGCAAATATTCTGAATGATGTCTCTTGTCTTTTCAGGGTTATTTTCAACAAACAGTTCTCTACTATGGCTTTTACACCAATGCTACAATCAGTAAAGTGGAGAATGGTCCATCTTACAACATGCAGCTGGCCTATATTTTCACTGTTGGAATATATTTTGTCATCTGTTTTCTTATCTTGTTGTTCAGGTAAACTGACTGAATTCCTGTTTCTCTTATATTAAGGGGAAAATACCCACACAATAAAAAACCCCATCCTCCACCCAGTTAGAGGTAATAATTACTTGAGTATGTTTCTGTAAGTCTTTATTTACAGGTGTAGAGTTTAAGTATAAATTTCTGCTCAAAAGATAGTCTCCAGGAATCAAACCTTTATTACAGAAATTAAAAATAACTGCAAAATAGTGAAGGACACACAGAGAATCCCACTTCAAACTGGGAATATTGTGATGCCCTTTTGTAAGCTGTTGCTCCTAATATTGTTTCTAATTGATGTGGCCTTACAGAGATAAAGATTGTCAGCAACAATCTTGAGATGGAAATACTAGAGTTTCTTACATTAAAGTTTATTTTCCACATTGTTGTATGTGACATGGTCTGACATAGGTCCAATAAACTTGTGATGGGATGGAAAAACTGTCAAATCTCCCTTCTTGCCCTGTGTAAAGACTTGATGAATTTCCCTGTTACACATCTGACCAATTTAATTTTCATTGCAGCATGGCAAGATTCTTCTCCAGTAACTTTAGGTTAACAAAGGCATTCTCTGTGAATGCCAGCAAGCTGCTCTGTATTTGGGACTTCAATATAACTAATGAAGAAGCTGTAAAGCTGCAACAAAAGAATCTCCTCACACAAATAAAGGTACAAACCACAGGAGGTACAGAACTAATGTGTGTGAATCATTCTGTTGGAGATTTAGTTGTGCATACAAATTTGTGTGTGCACATACAAGTCTCTGGCAGAGTAACACAAGTATGCTAGTCCTGTGCCTAAGAGATTTAAATCTTCCTGACTTCCTGAGTTTCATTTGGTCTGAGCTCCTGGCATTGGCTTAGCTGCTTGTTTTCCTTTTCTCATTGAGCTACATATAAATATTTGTGTGCTTCTGTTCTATTGAACAAGTCTCTGTGACTATTAAATATTTGCCATACAGAGTATTTATTCAGGTTTTTCTCCTTCCTGCTATTTAACTATTTTATAAACAAAAGGCAGGCTGGAAATATTTTCTGTGAAACTTGACTTCTAGGATAGGAACACATAATTGCCCAGTAAATGTTCCTAGGATATTACTCTGCCCATCTTCTAGAGCAATAATCTTTCATTTAGTTTCTCTGGTAGTGCCCTGAAACAAGTTTTTCCTTATGGTGTTGACTAAGAACTTCTTTATTAGAAATTGTTTCTTTGCAGGAAGATCTCACTGAAGTAAACAAAGAAGTTGTAAATTTTTCTGTGATGGAGAGATTTGTTCATATTGCTACTCATCTCCTTGCTTGGGTTGTTTCCCTGGCAATAGCAGTAGCTGCTTGTGCTGGTGTTTACTTCCTCTCCATTAATAACCTCGAGGTAAGGCTAGAATTTGCATTTTTCCACACAGATATTTCACACTGAGTGTGAACTCTGTTCGCTATGAGGAGCACAGACAGAGTTGTTGTTGTTGCTGCCAGAGCACACACAATTTCTGCTGGCCCTAAAGAGCTGCTTGGCAAGGCCTGCCCCACTGGGGACTGTGGCAAGAGTGAGGGAGCTGAGGAGCAAATCTCCCTCCTCTCTCCAGCAGCTGCTTGCCTGGGCCCATGGTCAGCTTAGGGACAGTGCATCGGGTGAGAAACAGTAAGAAGCAGCCCCAGCAGGACCTGTCCCTTCTGCCCCAGGAGCTGCATTTGAGCTGGGGCTCCCACCCTTGGTCCCACATAATTTAGGGGAAGGGGAGAGGGTCGCTGTGCTGCAGCTCATGGGCCCCTAAAACATGAGAACATCCAGGGGGCTTCCCTGTGGACACACCTTGAGACAGCATTTTGGTTAAGGCTCTAAGTTTGGGTTGTTTCATTATGTTTTTTCCTCTCTTAGCTGTTTATGAAAGGGTATAGCAATGATCTACAGAGACAATCTGCCATGTTGGTGCTACCTGTGATTGTGTCTCTCCTCAACACATTGGTCCCATTCCTCTTCTCCTGGCTTGGGCACCTGGAGAAGTTCCAGACTCCTGGACAGCACATATATGTCACTATTGTCAGGTATTTCTTGCTGCCACCTCTTAGTGCTTTCAGCCTGAAGTTGTCTGAGTTCTTTTTGATACAAAGCTGTGTCTGGGTGGTGTGGGGGGAATAGGGAGCTATGGAGGAGAATTTATCTTCTCCAAAGGCTTACTCTTGTCATCATGACATTTTATCTTTCATGAGCTTCTGGGAAGTTATATCTGTGCATGAGGGTGAGGAATGGATTCCCTCCCAGCTGGGTGCACTGTGACCTGGGCCTGTAGCACTCCTTGATGGCCCCGTGGCTGTTGGCCCCTCTCCAGACAGGGAAGGGTAATGGAGAGAGGACTGAGGTAATATCACTTAAAAACAGATGCCTGGCATTTACCCTGCCCAACCCCTGGTGTCCCTCAGCCCTCCCTCCCCTGAGGAGCCCCCACAGCCAGCCAGCAGCCTGTTAAGCAGATGCTGTGCCAAGGTTGTCATGCCCAGCTCCCCTCCTGCCAGGACAATAGAACAATGCCACGCCTGAGCTCCCAGGAGAGCTCCTGCTAGTCCTGGCACTCTGCAGTGCCAAGAGGAGGTAAAAAGTGTGACCAGTGGTCATCCTGCCGTCACTCCATCCAGGTATGGACCAGCTGTTGGTGCAGTTACTCCTACTTCTTCTTTTTAGAAATATCATCCTGAAAATCTCAATTGTTGGAATATTGTGCTACTATTGGCTGAACATCGTGGCTACCTCAGAGTCACAGGTAAAGTTTCAAAACACAAATCTCTGACTTGCAGTGCCAGGTTAGGAACCACTTGGATAAGAGACTTGCTTCAGCAACGTGAAGCACATGTGGTGTCTTGGGAAGCTGAGTTTCCTACCCTAACAATTTTTATTAGCAACCTGAGAGAAATCAACTGTAGGAAAAAATGAATGGCCCAGCTCAGCTCTCAGCTGGATGGCAGCATTGTTCACTGGGAAGTCAACCATGATTTGCTAGGCTGCTAGAATATATTTGATCAAGATTTCAGATCTTTGATCAAGTTTCAGATGCCCAAGCATTTGGGAACAATAGCATAATTTTTAAATTCTAGTTTGATTTGGTTTTTTTTCTTCTGTTTCTTAAAGTGCTGGGAAACTTTGGTTGGCCAAGATATCTATCGTCTTGTTCTAGTTGACTTCATATTTTGTTTGCTTGGCTCTTTCTTTGGAGAGTTTTTAAGAAGGTGAGTTCTACTTTTCTAATCTCCTTTTCATTCATTACCCAAAGATATGATCTGGTTTCTCCATGTGATAAAAGTCCAGCAGAAGCATGGCTGTGGCCATGAAGTTTCCTTGATTTTCCCTACCAGGCAGAGTCTCTGTGTACATGCCTTGTGTCTATTGCTGTTCCTCCTTAGAAGGAGATCAGTGTGTCCTTTTCCCCTTTGGAGATGGAAACACATGCAGGGGGGAAGCCACATTCTACTCTCATGGATTTCCTGAGACTGAGGTGACAATCAGTTGTCTCAGGCACAAATCCATCTTCTCTGCACAAGCATGGGCACACTGCTGCCTTTCCTTGGTATACCCACTGTGATTTTTCCCTTCTCAGTATGTCACTACAGTGCCCACAAGTTTAAATCTGATTTTATCAGTCTTATTAAGCATATAATGAGTCTCTCAAAGATAGAAGTGTCCAGCATGATAAATGAGAAAGTACTGTGAAGTGGATGTAAGGAAAAAGTAATTTACTTCTGACATCTGTTGTTCTTAGTGCCAAACATGGCTTATGGCTTAGGCAGTATTGAAATGCTTGCCAGCTCTACAGAGCATTTAGATCCCTGGCCATGCTTTTGTGTAGGAGATCCATTGTTTGCTCTCTGCCCATGATTTGAACAAGACTGGTTTACAAGGTAGGGCTTTGTTAACTTCTTCTTTAATTTGCACAAGACAATGTTGAGAAGTTCTTGAGGACATTTCCTCCACAGCTCTTGCCAGTGTACTTCAATCCTCCTGTTCTTGTGGTGTTGAGTAGGAAACCACCTCCCAGCAGAAAGTCACAGAGCTAAAACTGCAATGTCAGCTGTGATGAATGGCCTCCCATAAACTGGGCAAAAGCGCCTGACGTAGACATGAAAGGTTCAAAGTACAATTGCTTGTATTTAACATTTTGTGCTGAGAGTAACCTCCTGAAAACCCAGCTCTGTTGGTGATGCAGTTGATAAGGTGGTATCAAGATGTGATAGTTACCAAAACCTTTGTTGCTCTCACTACAACAAGCATAAAACTGTCTCCCCAGCTCAGGAAAACTGAGGTGACTAAGAGGGATTGTTGGTCCTCAGTAGGAATCCTCTCAGTACTTGCTTACCTGTCTGTTTCAGCTCCTTGCAACCTCAGTTAGTTTGAACTAGGATGTGAGTATTTGAGGGTCCATTTAGAGTATCAGTGTACAAATTTCATTTTTTTTTATTAATGATTAAAATTCTCACGACCTGAAAAAGCTGTTACAGTTTTGTTCTGAGGTCCCTTGACACTTCAGCTGCTTTAGCAGAAGAATACTTGTGCTTGAAGCCACAAGTAGTTACTATAGTATAGATATGTACTGATACAGTAAGAAATCCTTGTTGGTTCTCTCTTTCAGTTGTGTGAAACACATACTAGGTCTTACTTCAACCCTGCTTTGCCTTACAGGATTTTTTTTTTGCCAAATTGATTCATTTTTGCTGCGCTGTCTAATGAACAAGTTGTGGCTTCTTTGCATGACACTAATGCAGCCTCTAAATAATTTGTCACAGATGCTTGTTTTTAGAAGGCCATTTACAGGGATTTCCATAGAGGACTTTATCATTTAGAAATTGCTGTTGTACTATAGTTTTTTTTCTCCCCAGAATTATTGGAACTACAGTCTGTGTGAGCCTGGGGCTGCCAGAATTTGATATTGGACGAAATGTTTTAGATTTGATCTATGCACAGACTTTGACCTGGTAAGTGTTCAATTTACAGCCAAAACTTCATTTGCATGTAGAACTATCATGAAAAAAAATCTTATTCTGTTTGTGGGTGTTTCCCAGAAAGAACAGGATAAATAACTGGGAAATGAGCTGTTCAGTGCCTTTGGTAGGGACTGTGACTTTGGCAAAGTAATTATGTGTAACAAAGTAACAATACCTTCAGTCAGTAATTTACCTGGTGGCCACCTGGTCTGGAGAAACCCGATAAGTTCCTGCAGGAATATCCTGGAGTTTTGTTTACTTCCTCACTGAGATGATGTTCTTGATGAAATAGTCTCAGTATTAAATGCTGGAAAAGATGCTTGATTTCCAAGAATGAGTATGTTAGTCCAGTTATAAAAAGGTTCTGCAGATCTGTACATAGATATGTGTGTTTGAAATTGCATATTTTCAAAGATGGACTTACTGTTAGAGGATCAAGGGTAACAAAATCACATTTCCAACTAATCCCACACTATCTGTATATGAAGTTATTGTGGTATTTTTCTGCTTTCAGTGCACTGAGAACTGAAAGGTGACTAGTGAAGATGTAACTTTTTTCTCCTATAAATCCTTCCTTGTAGGATTGGTATCCTGTTCTCACCGCTGTTGCCTGGTATCCAGATGATAGCATTTCTTATAGTATTTTTTGTGAAAAAGGTAACAAACTTTGTCTGTATTCATCATAAACAATAAAGCAGTAAAATTAAAGGCTGGAGAATTAACAGTGGGCAAGTGCATATGTCAATATAGACACTCAGCCTGTGGCTGTGACTTGGCCTCTCAGTCACTCCGCAGCAACTCCCCTCTGTGAAGTTATCTAGGTGTAAGCAGGGTGATTCAACTGAAGATCATGGTGGAAATGTCTTCTTTTCAGAATTGTTTGTCTTGGTAGTATCACTAGATGAGAAGTTGTTTGTTAGGTCATGAAGCAGTTTGTAGTGTTGAATGTAGAAGAACAAAGCTGTAGGTAGAAAGATGGATTAAAATTTCCCTGAACCATGAGTTTGCATATGCTACAAAAGCAAACTCTACCCAGCAGACTTCTGAAGAACCCATCAGAACCTCATTTTGCTTCTTACTATTTTAAGACTATGTTATTGAAGTTTTGTAAAACTACACTCTATCTATCAAATCCACGTAAAAGTTGGTGTTGGAAATTTCTGACAGATGCTATTTCAGCAATTTCAGATTGACTTAAACCAAGTTGAAGTGGCAGGTAAGAGCATTCCAAAGTGCCTTCCTCTCTTTAAAGGTCAGTCTGATGAGGAATTGCCAGCCCCCTCGTGAAGTCTGGAGAACTGCTCAAATGACCACATCCTTCATTTTCCTGCTGTTTTGTCCTTCCTTCCTTGGAGTCCTGTCTGTCACTGGGGTCACTGTCTGGAGGTATGGAAGATCACTGTGCTGTGTGACCTGATACCAGGCAGAGGATCTGCATTTCTCTATAAAAGAAGTTATATTAACTGCTGGTGGAAGGTTTCAGGTGTTCATGAGTTGTTCTGTGCTCTGAAAACAAGATCTGCTCTGTGAGCTTGTGAGAATGTGACTCACTGAGTAACTTGTCCCATGAGGAAGCAGGAGGAGAAGCAAAGTTGCATTTTGGATTCCTGTTTAAAGGCATAAAATTTTACTTTTCCTCTTCTTAAAAAAGTATCCGTGACCAAGTCCTAGTTCCCGGCTTACTTACAGTACTGGTGATTCTGGGTCTGCAGCAGAGAAACACCTGGGAAAACTCAGTTGAGAGCAGCTCCTGGATTAATTCTGAACTTCAGAGGCTCTTTCTGCAGGCAGGCTGACCCTGTGGTAATGGATCTGGGTTGTTACCAGTATCTCAAAGCTGCTTTGGTTCTGCGTGTGTCACTCTGGCCACAGGAAGGAGGGCAGCATGGATGCACTTTTCTCTTGACAATAGTCAGCAATGTGATTTCAGTATTTAGTGAGACACATGAAATCAGTTGGGATGAAAGCTGTCAGAGCTATCATTTCCTAAGGGCAAGTGGGAATTTCAGACTGCCTGGAGTGGTTCAGTTTCAAAGCAAACACTTTCCTATTTCAGTCTACCTGACAATGTTAATTCTTACAATGAGCTGTCTTACTTTACCACCTTCTGTTGTTACTGAAGATCTGCAGTGACTCATGTCCCTGAAGGCAAGGTGAAATGATTTCCCCTTGTGGTGAAATGTTAAAAAAATCCAGTTTTTCAATTTCCTGTAGTGTGTGCTACAGTGATTGACAGGTTATGTTTATGTCAAGGTTGTGCTTCCAGGGCTTGGTGCTGATCCATTGCAGGGCTCATGTCTCACTGCATGGTCTGGGGTGGGCATTTAATGGCTGGAGAGGAACACAAGTTAAAAATGAAATACAGATCATGGAAGTACCCTGGGAGCCCAAAGACATTAGAGGGCTATAGAAAACTGAGGAGCATCTTGATGTACAAAATCACAGTATTAACTAATTCACTGGTTAACGTACAAAGCTTTAAGTAGCTGTTTTTCCACACTCTCAGGTTAAAGCCTTCAGAAGAATGTGGCCCTTTCAGAGGTTTGCCTTCCATGTATGCTGCAGTTGGTGAGTGGATACAGACACTGGAAAGATACACTGCCTCAAAATGGGTAGTGTGGATCTACCACAATTTAATTGCAAGTGAACTTTTCTTCTTCATCATCTCTACTGTTGTACTGTAAGTATCTGCTAATGAAAAGAACTAGAAAAAGGCCTTAAGTGGATAAAACTGGCAATGACAGAGTCATTCTATGTTATTTTGTTATCTGAAATGCATCTTGTATTGTTCACTCACTTAAATGACCTCTCATCTTGAATACAAGTCCACAAATTTTTGGGTCTTTTATAAAATAATGTTTTAAGCAATTTCATGCATTTGCCTTGTTTTAGGCAAATCCATGTGTTTGCCATTCCTTGTGTAATCGTGTACATCTATTTTCTGTGTGTGTGTACAGAGATGTGTATATATAAGTCTTTTAATGGGTTAAAATGAACAAGATACATTTCTATCTAGACACTGACTAGAATAAAGTGCTCATATAATGGACCTTTTGTTTTGTTTAGAATTGTTACTTATCTCTACTGGCAAATAATACAAGCAAGGAAGACCATGATCAAACTCTTACATAACCAAATTATTAATGTAAGTTTGGCTTTCATTTGTATCTTTTGTATAATTTGGCTTCTATGTTGATTATCTCGTCCAGCTTTGTGGGGCTGTAACCTGTTTTTCCTATAACTGTGCAAAGGAGGGTGGGAGTCCTTCCTCATGGGAGTTACAGGGAAATTTAACTCACAAAGAGCTGTAGCAAAAGAATTTTATCTTCAAGATGTGTTGCTGCAGCTCCCTCTGTAGACAGATTATTTTAGAAGAGAAGGAATTATTTTGGTCACTGGTTACTTACAGGCCTTGATCCTTTCAAGGATAATTAGTGCATTCCAGCTAATGATCAAATATATCTTGACTACAGGCAGGACAAGATAAGAAGTTTCTGCTCCAAAAGCTACAAAGAGAGCAAAGGGCAAAGAGAAGAAGCTCGTCTGGCCTGGGAGGAAGAGGCCAGCAGGTCAGTCTGACTGCTCAGCTGCTGCTGTTTAATTGCTTGGGGCAGGTCCATGGGGCTCCTCCAGCTGTGCAAACAGCCTGCTGCTTTGGGAGAAGGCTATACTTAAAATTCAATCTAAATTCTTGCTGCTTAACTCCAGACAGCAAAAGGATGCTGTGTGAAAGTTCCCTAATTATTTGTTCCAGGCTGGAATTCAATCTGGATATAGAAAAGTCCTTACCCTCACCAGATATAATTTATGGTTATGAAACTTCAAGAAAACATTCCTAATGTTCATGTGCAGTGATGGTCACCAAAGGGTTTGGTCACACCTGAACCTTGCCTAGGCTAAGGAGGAGGCTGCCTTCCTCCCCAGCAATGCATTTCCTTAGGGGGCTGTGATGTGTGGGTATTTTCAGCTGAGGTAAAACTGAGTGCTTTGACCTAACCCCCTTTTAAATCCCATACAACACTGATAACTAAACTTGAATTTATTTTTCAAGGCAGTCCTGCCTGCTGAGCCATCAAACTAATGCTAAAATGTGGACATATAGGTGCTGTCTGGTGTTTTTATTTGGGTTGAGTAAATACTCCTTGACCTAAATACTGATAGAGCAAAAGTATTTGGTAGGTTCCTCTCCTTCCTCCCAAAAAACCAAATCCCCCTGTATGACTGTCTATCATTAAAATGATGACATAAATAAAAACAAAGTATGGATAATAATTGATATTGTTAACTATAAATATGTGTGTGATAATACAAATAAATGTTGACTGTAAAGAGGTGAGCTGAATATGAGGGACATTTTCTATGTGCTGGGGATTTTCAGACAACATCTGCCCATGTTGAGTGTCACAAGTGGGACTCCTGAGAGGGAGATTTGTCACCTCCCAAGTGTGGATGTTCTTGTAGTTAAGATCAGATTTCAGAAGGAGATGCCAGAATGATCTCATTGTGGATTTAGCAGAAAGGCCATCTCCCTGAGAGCAGGGAGATGAGCAGTGCTGACCACACAGTGACAGCTGGAAGCCAGATCACAGACTGCTGATGCCAAACACTGTTTTTCAGAGGAGCTCCTCTTCATACCACCCATCCATGCAACCTGCCCAGGAGGTGCCAGGCTACCCAGAAAGGGCATTTGACAGACACCAAAACACATCCCACAATGAGGTGAGATGGTCAAAAGAGGGAAATGTAGATTCCCCTATATAGAATCTGGGGTGTGACATAGGTGATGGGTGTATGTGTGGCAAAGTCCTGTATGCATGGAAATAACTTTAAAGATTAACTTAGATATAAAAATGTGATCAGAACAGCCATTGAACACTCATAATCGCAAACCTGCTCAAGACTTGCAGAGTATGATTTTGTTACAGATAACTGGTATCTTTTCAAATACAAGATAACACACACAGGAGGGAAACCATGACCTAAATCTGCTTGTGAATTTTGTTTTCAGCATCCCTTTTCTGTTGAGATCTCAAGCAGCAGCGACTTTTCACCAGGTAAGCAACCAAGATGAAACACAGGAAACTCTTAAAAATTCAGCTCAGTAAAAATGTTTGATGTACAGACACAGTGTGTGACAACTGCAAGTCAGGGACACAGCATTTTAGCATCTTGTGTAGAGAGAAAACAAAATGACTGGGTTTTGCCATACTGCTGTCTCCTTATCACAAAAGTTCCACACGTTCTGGTGTTTCTTGTGGGGAGCTCCTCACAGCACTGACTCTTTCTTCTTCTCAAAGCAGCCACTGACTCCAGTTCCCTTCTTAACCTCCCACCCCACTCTTTTATAGCATCTTCTTCTCATTGCTTACAGCTGTGTCCTGTTAAAGTCAGGTCTGATCCTGATCTTTGATAATTGGCCCAGCTGCAACTCCTTAGGGTAAGATTACTTTCTACACTATCTTTAGTTTCTTATATTCTATCCCCCTACAACTGGGCTTGTGGGGTGAATTTTTTCTACAGACTGTGCTTTTTGGTAGCTTGTTCTGTGTTGGAGGCGACTTCTAAAGCCTGACCACCAGCCTTTGTGTACTAGAGAGTATAGGAGCACCCAACAGACAGACAAGAACTTTAAATCAGTTTAGAAACAGACTTCACGTGTTGGTGTGAAAGGGGGTAGAGTCCCAAGAACATCATCCTGCTCAGAGTAAAATAAGGCTATGGGACCTTGCATGGCAGTCTCAACTCCATGTAACTTCATTTCAAAAACTTGACAGAAGAGATCCCTGCAGAGCAGGGACTGTTCTGGCGTTGGGGCTGCCCTCTCTAACGCTGTTTGCCTTGTGCCGAGCAGGCGCTGAGCCCAGCCCGCCCGGCCGGAGCCCCGGCACGTCCCGGGCCGTGGTGCTCGCCCTGCGCGCCCGGGCAGTGGCGCTGGAGGAGGACAGCGATGGCACCGGGGGGTTCCAGCCCTGGGCAGGCACGGACAGCGATGGCACCGGGCGGTTCCAGCCCTGGGCAGGCACGGACAGCGATGGCACCGGGGGGTTCCAGTCCCAAAGCGGCACGGGCAGTGATGGCAGCGAGAGATTCCAGCGCTGAGCAGCACCGAGTGAAGGCACTGCTGCAGGAAGCCATCCTCTCTTGCACTAATGATAAAAGAATCTCTCAAATATCTTTTTTGACATCCAAATGCAAGGAAAAAAATATAAGAACAGGTTGTAAAATGTGTTGGGACTTCGGTTTTTTACTGTGATAGGGACTATCCCCCTTCTGGGGTTGTTTCGCAGCAGTGGTGTTTGGTGACAGCCTTCCCCCAGGACTGGCTGGCATCACCTCGATGCAGTCAGGCTCCCTCCATGAGTTGTTGACTAAATATAAGGTAATTTGTGCCAAACTGTAAATAAAAGTTGTATGTTTAAAAATATTTTTCTAACAGTTATATTGTTTTACCTGTTTTATCAGCTTTTATCTGCAGTATTGGTTTAATAAACAGAAGTATATTAATGTGCAGTTGTTTTTAAAGACTGAGACATTATAATGGCTGTGAAGTAACTTGTGTGAACTGAGTTCATTTTTCTGAGCCATTTTCACAATTTACTACAGTCACTTAAAAGTAGCTTTGATGAAGCCATCAGAACTAAGAGTGTCTACTTATCAAATTCTCATCTGTGTAAAACTATTGCTTGTAAACTGGAACTTTACATGTCTTTTTCTATAAAGGATTGACTGGAAGTAACAAAACTAAGACTTATTGTTTAAATTATTTTTTTATCATACATGACTTTGAGATTTCATGCACCTTCTGGTTATTCAAGACCTCAACTTTGCCACCACCATGATAATTTGTTTTGTTTTGTTTAGCTCATTTTCTACTACTGCCTGGTTTTTTTCCTCCCTTGTTGCTCTGGGAAGAGGCACATCTTTTCATCTTGCTCATAATTTAGGCTGGAGACAACCCAAAGCCAGCCACCACAGGCACAGAGAAAAGGACAAACTTTACACACAATGCAAGAGCAGAGATTCAATGTTGTTTCCCTGCACATACAGCTGTGGAGCCTGGCTGTGGGCATGGACATGGACCTGGTGTTTGCACTGAGGATGGTGACTCAGCAGTGCCAGAAGCTCCAGCAGCAACCAGAGCTGGACCTTTGGAGCAAGGCCTTAGCCATGAAGAGTCATTGCCCTTCAGTGGGCTCAGCAGTAACAGCACAGCACCCAGGACGGGGCAGGACAGGATCTGGACATAAACCTACACATTCTATAGGATGTGCACCAGGAGGCTGAGATTGCTGCTTCTGCAGAGCAGGGGGTGAGTGACAGGGAAAGGCACCTCCTTTGTGCTTCTTTGTGCCTGGATGGAGCTCAGGAAACAAACAAAAAATCCATCCCTCCCAGCAGGTCACAGCATGAATCTGTGGTATTCCAGAAGTTTGGATTTACCCTAACTGGGACAATCTGCACTCATTTTGACATTTTGTATAAATACCCTCCTGCACAGCTGACAAAGAACACTTCCCCATGAATTCTCAAAGACTTTTTATTGTTACTGCAGACTCTTTGGAGTTCAAGTTAAATCTGGATTACAGTTTCCATATCCCTCTGAGTGCCCTTCAATCATGCAACCAAAAGCAAACTAAAAAGACATTTCAGCACCATTTGTTCTACTGCAGCACTCTATATATAGCTTTATCTTTAAAATAAATACATTCATGTGCTGTGTTTTTTCTTCATTAGAAGAAACAATTTCCTATCCTCCACTGGTTCTCTTAAAAGGTCTGGAAGATAAGAAGCTAATCAAGTTTTTTTGTTAATTCTCATAACCTTCACATCACATCACACATGGAAAGTTGGCTTTTTCTTCCTCATCAGTATTCAGCACAGCCATCTTTCCACACAGGGCAGGGAAATATACTCATCTTCTATTTTGGCACCATTGTACCATTATTTCCAGTTTTTGTTTTAAGAAAAATAATGTCAATAATTTTAAGGTGCTCTAAATCAACCTCAAATTAGTATACACTTGTAGGACGTGCTAGTTAAAATTACTAACATCTAGTTATGATTTGAAATTTTGACACCAAAATTGCTGACACCAATTTAGAACCAAAATTATCTGATTCTTTCACATGACAGTGATTTCCTCAGACTCTGTGGCTGCACCAGAAGGTTCCTGCATTTGAGATGTGACCAGAGGCAGAAGCCAGGTGCTGCTCTGCCTTTCCCAGGCTCTCCTCAGCAGCCCACCAGCCCTGCCAGGAGGGCAGCGTGGGGCTGGCTCAGTAGTGGGGGTCACAGTCCTCCACCAAGCTGTCGGTTATGTAGCTGCAGTCAAGGACGCTCTCGTAGTAGCTTTTCTCTGCAAACGTGTTCACTGTCCAGGCCACCACTCGGATTCCTCTGGCAGACCAGTGCCTCACATAGTCCCTGCAAGGAACAGACACCTGAGAGCAGCTGACACTACACAGAGCTAAGGCAGACAGTGCTGAGGCTACAGCTGAGTTTTGGTCTTGCAGCAGCAGCACATCAAGGAACAGCAGTGTGTCACATTCTGCCACATCATCTTTTTGTGTTTTCTTATTGCAAACAGGCAAAAGCAACAAATACTTTTTCTCTCTGAGATTAACAGAAAGTAAAAATTCAGATAAAAAAGAGGCTTAAAATCATAAAACAGCACAGAGTAAAGAAATTATCAAGACGCCTCATGCAACACTAAATGGAACATTTTGATAAGCACGTACTGTGTTAACTCCACCCTATATACTAAGAGAAGAGAATGTCTCCTGATAAATGAGCAAACTTCAACACTTACTGAGAAACAAAATTCTTCTGTATGAGGAAAGCTGAAACCCCACACAGTCTCCACAAGAAACTGTGCAGGCTCCAGTCCAGAATGACATCCATCACCATGTACAAGAAATGCTTCCAGGAGGAACTGAAGCGGGGTGTCCCATTGCCCAGGTGACTCAGCTGCCAGGGCCTGTGGGTCAGTGCTGTCACAACATTTCTGTCAGCTTGTCTCATCTGGAGGACCAAGGAAGAAAGACTGTAAGTCATGCAAAATCCCAACTGCATCAAATACAATTTTTGAGAGATTAGATACAAAGTCCTAGCTTGCATTTACAACTCTACCAGAATCTGCCCTTCCCCTCCAGATCCTTTTGTAACTGTTTTAAAAAGATGTTTATATTTTATAGGGTTTTTTCCTTCAAATCATACTGAATAAGCCCCAGCTCTTACATTAAAGAAATTACACAGCAGTCATGCAATGTATATAAGGGAAAAAAAGGTAAGTAGACTTGGCAATAAGAATGAGGATAGAGTTTTAAAAAGGGTTTATTCAGCAGGTACCTTGCACACAGATACCTGGCCAGACACCAACTAGAAGAGCAATGCACATTTGTCTGCACTGCTTTCACAAGCGAGGGAATTGCTGTAGATTCCTTTTGCATCTAATGAGTAGAGTGATCTAATAAGATTATGCATTATGCTCCATTTGTTTTTAAAAGCTTTAGGAATTTGAAAAGTCCAAAAATAACCTGGAACTGGGAGTTTAATACCATACTGAAATTCCCAGACAGGACTGAAAAAATAAAAAATAAACTTTTAGGAAACATCACCTTATAAACAACTTCTGGCATGAAAGAACAGACAATGCTGCTGTTATACAACTGTGGAAATTCCTGGTAGAGTTGTTTCAGGGCTTCAACTGCCTGCAATTAGAGACACACAGAGATGTTATGCATACACTCATATTTAATTTACACTGCAAAGCCATTTTAGAACAATCTTAAAAACACTTCCCTGCTGTGTTACAAGACTGAAATAGAAAGGGAGAAGAAGAAAAACAGCATGATGTTTATAGCATTAACACAGAAATGATATTTTGGTTTTTAGCAAAAGAATTTCTGTTCATTACTCTATTTACAATAATGAGTAGGATTCTCAGTGTTTGAAATGCCCTTAAATATGTTGTGGATATAATTTTTAGTACTACCCAGGCTTTAGTTGAAGAGTTAAAATTATTTATTCCTATATTTCGCTAGGCTAAAGAAAAAAAATTAATTTATGTAAAATGTTAGTGATGGATCATTTTCATCTGCCTTCAGTAATGCAAATTACAGATCCCTTGTTAGAGGCTGAAGATGAGGTTGTGACTCCCCCAGCACAGCAGGGAATTCCCTTTGCTCTGTTTCCCTGGGAGCTGAGTGCAGCACTTGCACCAGCCTTGGGCCAATCCTAAGCTGCAGCTTCCCAGGACAGCTCTGGGTGCCACAAGCAGCAGGCCTGGGCTCACCCCTGTTAGAGAAGGGACTGTGCCCAGGGAGCAGTCTGATAGCAGCACAAGAGCAGGTCAGAGCCCAAAGCAGGGGTGAGGGAGGGGTCAGTGAGCAGTGTCACTGTCACTGCAGTGAGCAGTACCTGGTTTGCATGGCCTTTGACATCGAAGTAGATTGTGAGATTGTGATGCATGGACTCCACAACAGCTTCTCTAAGAGTTGGCACCTTTTCATCCTGGAATTGGCTCCTGTACAAACAGAGAACTCCTTGGAATGCAGTCAACACACACGTGCACACACATGGGCCTGCATGGCACCTCCAACAGGGTTGATTCCAGCACAGTTTGCTGCTGCACTGGAACTGGAGGTGGGATCCAGTGCTCCCTGGCCCCGTGTCCCACCCCAAAACACCAGCCCCAGTTCTTCACCTCCTTCCCACAAATGAGCTTTCAGTCCCAACTGCTGCCTTCCTCCTGCTCCTACTGCACTCCCCAGCCCTGAGCCAGAAATGCCAATCCTGGCAGAACAGGCAGGACGAGCTGAGGATCAGCAGAAGCAGCTTCTCCCGTCAATAAATCATTCCTGACGGGATGGCAGTTCATTCACTCCTGACAGTGAACAGCAGCTGCTCAGAGTCACTGCCTGTGGAAATTCCCCCTGCCTGGCCCAGGTGATGCCCCTTCCAGTGAGACAGGGAGATACTCCTTGTGCCACACACCCACAGGAGGCACATCTGCAGCTCTGGAATTCCCTAATGCAGTGTCTCAGGAGCACACACAGAGTCCTTCCTCTGAAATGGACTCACTCATGATACTTCACAAGTTGCATTGTTATCAAATTCTTAGTAATGTACAGAGATATTTCCCCTTGCATACCCCTAGGAAGGACCTAATCAGCCACGAGGGTCATAGTGAGGTCGCCCAAAATCTGTCCAGCTCCTCTTCAACAGCATAAACCTGATGTGTAGAATCCCCAAAACACCATCAGTCAAGAAATACACGTGAATAAAACTAATCTTAGAAGTGATTCCTGTAGCCAATTCTGACATATCATGAAGATCCCAGCACCTTCAGTGTCCTGCAGTCAATTTAGGATAAGCTTATGTAAACATTGACCTGTTTCACATTAGAGGCCTGTGGATTTTGTCCTTGAAAGCCAGTTTATCTTGACCGTGTTTCACTGTTCGTAATCTACTGATTGGTAAGGAGATATAGTCTCATGTACCTCTAAAATCAAATCAGAATTAAAATATAGGACTAAGTTTTAGATTTTCAAAAAATTTTATCAGTGATAGATCAAATCACTAATTTTGTTCATCAAGAATTACATTTCCACTGTTGAAAGTGTAATTTCAGAGCAGTTCATTTACCGTAGCCTGTGTTTTGCAGCTGGATTCAGCTTCCTGATTTCCTCAAAAGTCAGGTCCTGCAGTCTCCCAGCCCCATCAGTTGTCCTTTCAACTGTGTCATCGTGCATGAGAATGGGGACACCATCTGCACTGAATTCAAGGTCCAGCTCCACACCCGTTGCTCCATTCTCAGCTGCCTTAAAAAAAATTTTAAAAATCACATACACAACAGAAAAACCAGCTTTATAGATTTGACACAGGTGCAGCCATAATCAGCTTGTATTTTGGTAAAAAATAATAAAATATTAATGTACTTTTCAGTAGTCTTCATCTGCAGAAAAAAGCAGGTTTTATCCAAGTCATTGCTGAGTGTTTAAAAATCAACTGAACCATCTAATCTATTTTACAGCTAAAACCATAATGATTCTGCCACAGTATTGGGATGGAAACTGTTTCATGATAAAAATGCAGAAAAGAATCCTGCTCTCTCCTTCTGAGGTAATAACCCTGAAGTCCCTATGTTCTTTTCTGAAAGGCAAGAGAAGCAAATATCTGCACTTTAACACTTAGTGCACACTGCTTACCACGTGTATGGCAAGCAGTAGATGGATGGCAAATCCCTGCTCCTCTCTGAGGACTGGCCTTATCAGAGAGCAAGAAGCAGCCAGGCTGCCTTAGAACATTTCATACACCCTTTTCCTGCCCTGGATCTTTCCCAAGAACTCTTCAGAAAAACACTTGAGTGAAGTGCTAACAACACCAATTGCTCTGAAGGACAAATGCCCTCCTGAGAAAAGGGACAATGCACCAGAAAGACCAAAACTGAGTACAGAGGTTACCTCCAGGTGTCTGCTACGTAAGGATTGTGCAGCTTCAGAATTTACCAGGACTAAGAATCCTGTCTCACACAAAGGTAAGAGATCCTCAGAGCAGCAACGTCTCAACCCCACAGAAACACTACATTCCAGAGATTGATAAACTGGAACTGGGACACAGGGTAGGATGAAGAAACCATAAACCAAACATAAAGTAAACAGACTCCAGTATCTTTGTAAACGCCCTATAAATCATTATCACCAAGCCCAGCACAATAGCTCTTCTAATCTGTGCCCCTCTACTGTAAAAACTACATGTTAGGGACAATAACCCTAGTGACCAGAAAGGTATTGAAACCTCAGAAAAGTCTAGAGACCAGAACCACATGGAGGCCTCCACCCCAAGAGCCATTACGAATTCAAGCAACATGGCTACTGACTGCTTTAACCCACTTCAGAGCGAGCACAACACACGTGTAATCAATAAAGGTTTTGTCTGTTTCGAATGATTCTCAGAAAGAGACTGTGAACCCTGGCTGTGCCTTGATGCCTTGCACATGAGGCGGCAGTGAGCCATGGCAGGGCTGCCCACAGAAGTTCTGGTACCAGATTTCCCCCTAAATGTGGATTTTCATCACAGATCTTCAAGGTTGAAAAAAACAAACAACCTCTTACAGACTTGCTGTCCACTCTCTGTGTGCTGTTGCTACATCAAGGAAACACAGTATTTCATTATCGCTGAAATATCCATCAGCACCAAGGCTATAACAGCTCCCACAAGATTCGGAGCTGAAATTCCCTTTGGGACGAAGGATCAACACCCACACAACTTCCAGCAGCTATGGGAAGAGCGGCCCGAGTTACTGACGCTGAGGACGCCTTGCCGCTGTGAGGGCGGATTATCGGACACAGCCCCAGCCCCGGGGCCCGTGCTGACCTGTCGGATGGCCCCCAGCGTGTTCTCGGGCGCGTCGTGCGCTCCGCCGCGGTGCGCGATGCGGGCGGCGGCGCCGCGGGGCCGCAGAACGCGCTGCGCGCTCTGGGGCGCCGCGGGCTCCAGGGCCAGGAGGTGCAGCGCCAGGTAGAGCCCGGCCGGCAGCAGGCAGGCCAGCGCCGGGCTGCGGCTCAGCGCCAGCGCCAGCGCCATCAGAGCCGTCAGGGAGCTCAGCAGGCCCTCGCCGTGGCACAGCATGGCCGCGCCGGGCCGGGCCGCGCCTAGCCGCGCCGGGTCACCGTCCGTGCCGGGCCGGGCCGGGCCGGGTCACCGTCCGTGCCGGGCCGGAACAACGGCCGCGCCTCTCACAACGCCAACGGCGACGGCAGCGCCATCCGCCAGCCAATCAGCACTCGGCTGTCAGCCGCTGCAGCCAATCAGCGCCCGCAGTACCCGCCCGGCCCCGCCGGCCGCCTTGAGGGCGGGCCCGGGCCCCAAGCACCGCCTCAGGTAACGCCGGGAGGGGCATGAGGGGAGCTGGGTGATCCTGCTGGAACATGGGGCACCGAGGCAAACGGGGGCTGTTCTTTATGGAGCACGGGGCACTGAGGGCAGCGGGGGCTATTCCTGATGGAACACGGGGCACTGAGGCAAACAGGGGCTGTTTCTGATGGAACACGGGGCACTGAGGGCAGTTCTTGATGGAACACGGGGCGCTGATGGCAGTTCCTGATGGAACACGGGGCACTGAGGCAAACGGGGGCTGTTCCTGATGGAACACGGGGCACTGAGGCAAACAGGGGCTGTTCCTGATAAAACATGGTACGGATAAAAGTAAAGGGAGCTAATGGAAGGAAAGGTATCACTGTCCAGGGAGTCGCAGAACACCCGTGTGAAGGGAGAGTGTTGAGGGCTTTCCGCAGCTATGACAGCTAGCTAATTAGAAGCATAACATCCACAGAGATTATTTTCCAGTGTTTGTTATATACAACATTATATATTGTATGTTTTATGTAGCTGACTGTGCAGTCGTGCCTGCCCACGGGCCAGGCCCGGGAGGAGCAGGCGGTGCCTCCTGCCCGGACAGCGGCGGCTGCTGCTGGACAGGGACCGCGGCTCTGGCCCCTGACACCTGTGTGAGCACCCGCCAGGAACCCAGAGAGATGAGCAACACGGCATGAAAGCAGCTGGTTAAGTGAAGGTTGGGGAAATTGGGCATGTTTAGAAGTTGAGTAGCAAAGCCGAGGAGCCAGCAGTTTGTGTTAACGTAAGTGGGGGTTATGGCATGTTTTTGTGTCTGTATCTGTGGGAAGGATAGGAAGCCACTGACTTTCCAAAGAGGAGCTCTGACCAACTAGAGGTAGAACAGGCATGAGGCCATCTTCTGAACTGTTGTTTTTGTTTCCTTTTTTTTTTCAAATTTTTTTTTAATTGCTGAGATGAATATTTGTCACATAGTGTGGTAGCTGGTTCTGAGCATCTCAGATACTGTCAGTGGTTTTATGTTTCTGCCAGGTGTAGCTGAAGAAAAAACAGAGATATGTATATGCAATGCACAACAAATAATGGACTGTCTAATTAGATGTCTAACATATTTAAAAAACCTTTTGATAAACAACAGCATTTGTTAAGATTAAAGATGAAATTTAAAAAAATAAAGCCCCTCAATGATCATTAAAGAGGTAACAGATGACAAACTTGTTTTTTGAAACGAGAACGACAGCTTTAACAGCTCTAAATGCTGGGAATTAGATGCTTCCATATATTTAAATTAATTATGCCTGGGCCAAGTGCTGGCTAACAAGTGTGGATTTTCCTTCCACCTGACCTGCCTGACAGGTGAGTGTTACCTGCTGCTGAACTGGCTGGACCGGCAGCTGGCTGCCGCCCGGGCGGGAGGGATAGGATGTCAGTGATGGTGCCCTCCTGGATGCCGTGCTGGTGGGTGCTGTAACAGAGATGGGAACAGGTGCGCACGTTTATCTCTCTTATCACAGCGTGCTCGCTGAATCTGATCCCTGCGGCGGCACATTTGCGCTCCTGACTGCACGAGGACTGCACAGCCGTGTGATATGTAATGGGATGAAGTAGGACAGACTTCATCCGTGCTAACAGGGCAACGTGTCTGGGAGAGCTGTGGGTGGAAATGGCTGGAAATCGGAGCTCCATGGCGGGATGGCGCTCCATCCGCTCTCATCTCGCTGCCTGGGCACGGCAGAACTGTCCCGGGCTGTGTCCCGGGGCTCTGTCCGTCGGCGCGGGCAGCGGGGGCGGAGCGGGCGGAGCGGCGCGGGGCGGAGCGCGGCGCGGGGCGCGCTGGGGCCCGTAGTGCGGCGGCCCGGCCGTTCGGCGGCGGTTACTGGGGAGCTGCACCAGCCCCGGCCCCGCGCAGGTACCGAGCCGTTGGACGGGTCCGGGTCCGGGCCCGGGCCCGGGCCCGGGGGGGAGCGCCGGGGCCCCGGGGAGGCGATGCAGCGGCCCCGGCCCGGGGCGGGCTCGGAGCCCCGCAGGGATCGGGCAGGGATCGGCCGGAGCGCCGTGCCGGGGAACAAAGCGTTGTCAGGCCTTGCCCGGCGCTGCAGGGCTCGCTCCGGTGGGGACGGGCAGTGACAGATATTTCACATATTTGCCCGCTTTTAAGGAGACATGGCTGCAATTGATTTATTTCTTTCTTTTTTGCGGTGTAAGTATTGGCGTCTGTTCATACAGGGATGTAGCGAGACGAAGGCTCACGGGAGTGAAACACGAATTCCTCTCAGCCCCCTAAACATGTAAAGGCTTTTTTTTAAAAAACAAAATTAAAAATTTTTTATTTATTTTTTAAAAATCCAATTGGGCTACAGTTTTGTTTGGTCTAGGTTTAGGGGTTTTTTTTGACAGTTAATAGGAACTATCTCGTGGAAGACCTCAAAGGTTTAGTCTTTGATGGAAATTATCCATAGCAGGTACAGTTTTGTAAACCCTGGTTATCTCAATGCTTGCTTTCTTCTCTGTGTGCTAGTGATCATCCTTTTTGCTCACGTATGCAGGTTCTCCTTTCACAGGGGAAAATAACGAAGAGTTTTGTAGGCTTTGGTAATGATAAGAGGAAGAGAAACTTAATTCAGTTTTTCTGTGTAAAATTTGCTTCCCAAAACATAGTGACACATAATTAGTGGTGATGTTGTTTTTCCTTCAATGTCTTGGAAGTACATGGAAGAGTAATGTTATTATTCTTTGTAGTTTAGATAACATGAAGATGGAGGACTATGAAATATTCTGTAGGAAGCATCTTTCCAGAATCCAAGAAGAGGCAATAAAAGGAAAACCTTCTTTGACTGTTCAGAACAAAAAAGTCTCCCTCATTCAGTTCTATGGAGTTCCTGTGCTTTCCCCTCTGGTAAGGTCCTTTTTTAAATTCCTTTTCCTCCCTGGTGTGCTAACTGAGCTGTTGGCACTGACTTTGATGTGCACATGGAATGATTCTACTGAAGATGTCTGTGTGAGCTGTCATCTGACCTGCTGCTTAGTGTATTCTAAGCATTCCTAGCCTTAATCTTACAAAATAAGGGGTTAAATATACTTTTTTCCCCCTCACACTGACTACATTTCCTTTAAGTTTTTTAGAAGTTCCCTTCCTAAAGGGATCACAAATGCTGATTGTTTTCAATAATGTTACTGCTGGGCTTCATGTAAAATCATATTGACATTTCAAATATTGAACATGTGAGTTATTTTAATGGTGTAAAAATGTAAATAAGAAATGCCAAGATAGTTAAAAAGCTTTTAATGAAATTTTTTTTGCATATGTTTGCATCTTCCTGTAATGTATTCCACAGGCTCATCAATTATGTTAAGTCATTCTGTGCTAATGCAAACAGAGCTAAGCTGAAGATTGTTGGTAGTTCCTGCAATACTGCAGCTGACTTCCTTGTTTCAGTATGGGAAGAAAGGGGAGAGAGTCTCTTACAACATCCAAAAATCATGATACAGATATAAATTGCAGATATATTATCACATTTTTCATTTACAAATGCATGGATGTTGTAACGGTTTGAGAAAAAAATCTCTGAATCCTGTGTCAGATTGATACTGTAGCATGTAATGGTCATGGAAAATTTTATAAATGTGTTTTAAATTCATGTTCATTTGCATGTGTGCCAAGAAGGCATTTTGTACACCTTCCCTTAAAAAATTGATTGAGAAGAACCTGGCATTTAACGTGTGCACAAAATTTCAGTGTTTTCTGTTCTTCTAATGGTTTTGTTCTGTTGTTTTTCTTTTGAATTTATTTCTGTAATTCTGTATTGAAATTTGCATTTAGTGATATAAACTATGTTTCTTACGCTTTGTTTTGCAGCTCAGCCTTGAAGAGAAAAAGAAAATACAGCAGTATAAGGAGAAAGCACTGGAGCTAGAGAGCAGGAAACGGGAGTCCCGGAAAAAAGCTTTACTGAGTCGTGTTCAGGAGATTGTAGAAAATGTCCAGGTACTGTTAGTCCTAAGCTTCTCATAGATTTACAGCAAATCACTGCTTAGAGACATTTTGAGAAAGTATTGGGGTTTAAGTATTCCCCAGTATAAATATGAAATGAATAGCAGCTAACTCTCCAGAACTAGCATTTGCTAATATTTCATGCTGATATTGATCATTTACTGAGACTCATTGTAGTGCATGGCCTTGCTTTTCACTGCTTCTTTTGCTGTATGGAGGAGAGCTCACTGCTTCTTTTGTGAGAGTGTTGGAAACAACTGGAATGTTAAAACAAGTGAACAACTCCTGTGTGTTAGAGCTGCTTTATTTGCAAGCTTATAGCTTAATCATAAAATAATCTATATTCAACTTCATGATTACAGAATTAAAATTACTTTCACAACAACTTGAAATTCTGTTGTGTGTTTTAAAATTTTACTGCAACTTTTTTCTTTGCTTCAATGATGAATTTAGTAGTGGTTTTAATTTAAAAGACTACTATATACATCTAATCAAGGAGTATGGAGTATGTCTTTGGAACAGCTGTAATACAGCCTTTAGACTAAACTGTTGCTTAAACAGTTAATACTGAGTTTGTTGAGTTACCAAGGTGGCAAGCAACACTTTATAGTTTGCATTGTTTACTGAGTGTGTGTGGCAACAGTGAGCTGGCTTGGGGTTTGACCAGCAGACCAGGAAAGTATGTTCAATACAAAAATAATGTAAATTTGTTTGTTTTTTTTTCCAATATGTCCTTTTGATAACTGAGACGCAGCTCATAGGATAATCGTAGTGTGAAAATCCT